AATGTGCTGAAGTTGGACTAAACTACGGGACTAAAGTGATTTTAACCTGACTTTCGCTGATCTAAATTTATAAGAATGCCAAAAAAGACTTAGTGTTAAAGGTTCTGCGTTAAGGCCATACTAATATTTTTAGTTTAGTAGAACTAAAAATAACAAGCTTTACACACAAATAATTAGTTCCAAATGAACATATAAGTACGTATACAATACTAAGGGAATATAAATTTTTCGCTATCACTTAACCTGTTCCTACCGATTTTGAAAAGTACATTACTTTATGTTATGCAAATCGTTCCCCTTTTTTTTGACGACGTGGTGGAAAATCCCTTCGGATCTCCTGCTCCTCGGGGATCCAGGAGCCAGGAGTATGTGGTAATCCACTAAAAATCACCCCGACGGCCGGCCTTAGGTGTCCTACTCTGGGAGGACCCGGACGATGTTATTTCAGGTCCTCCCCGAATTGACACCATTCCTGATCAGGGCCTGAGGCCCAGGAAAAAACACTTCCCTCCTTAATTGCGGCGAGGACGGGCAATCGTTCCCTAGATCACAGAAACAGTAATTTTGTTCTATGCCCTAGAGTGTTTCATGTTTTTGCCTAAAAGATATATGTCTTTTGCAGAATATCGAATTTACTAGATTTTCCATGCGGTAACCTATTCTACTAAGGCTAGTGTTTTAGTGCTGGTGTTTTAGTGTATATTTAATTTTAATTTAAAAAAACTTAAAGACCGTCTAGGCACATGCCTATACTTACTGCTACACAGCAGTAAGCCTCACAAAGTAACCCAAATTAAACCATCATGACTTAAAACAAATATTTTTACGCGTACATTTAATACAGTCGCCACCTTATATCTTAATTGTCTAAAATATTATACTATTAGTATTTTTAAACAAATAAAATATTGTTAATTAGTATTGTATATGACGCTTAAGTGCAATAATATAACAATTGAACACGAAAAAAAAACACGGCAAATCTTCATTTAATTATGGATTCACGAGGGATCATCCTTTAACAGATAATAAATGTTACATAAACAATGTTGTAGTAATACATTGCTTATGCAAATGTAATTTGTAATGCAGGATGTGAACTAATTTATTTGATTTGTTATACATATCATCATAATATACGAAGACGCAGTTTTGTTGCATACACAGTGATGTTTTTTTAAATTATTAGTTGTACTCTTCTCTGTTCGAGCTGGTGGAGTTTTGACAGTGAATACTTTAGAACTTTACGTCATCTGTCACTTTACATTATAAACGTAAAAGTAACAAAAGCAAGAAAGTCCAGGTTCAACGCAAATCTCGAGTACATAATATAATTAATAATTGTCCTAGGTGGAGGCTTGCAATATCAACACTCAGCAAGGTGACACCATCACCACCACCATAATTACTACAAGTAATATTTAACTATTCAAATATATACCTCTCCAAATCGAATTGAAAATATAACAAAATATCAAGTTGTTTTAAAACACTCTAACTTAAAAATATATCGTGCAGATATGACATACATTTAAGCGCACTTGAACTCCATACGGTGATTAAGAGAGACACAGCCAAATTAAAATTTATTTGTCCTCGTAAATCCAGTTTGTGAAATTAAATATAAAGACTGTACTCTATTTTATAGGCCAAAAACCAAACAAGTATTTTTTAAATTCTATAACAAAACAGAACCGCCCTTTTTGTGATAAAATTGTTTATTCTGCGGTTCATCCTTAATTCCTAAGCTTAAAATTCCATGACAGCTAAAAATATCAGTCATGAAAGAAAATAAATATTCAAACGATCGCGCCGACCATCAGTTTTCGATGACAGCGATCTAAACTTTTCTTCTGCATATGCACATTCGAGTCACGTCAATGTCATCCTTGAGTGTCCACTCGAACATTTCGTATTCACCGCGTATAGTCATTTCACCAGTGACATTTGACATACAAGGTTCAATGGACGAGATTGCCGTTTGAAAAATCATCATTCGTTCTAACATGTTATAAGGACAATTTGCGGTTTAAAATGTAGTACGGCCATTGTCTACTGTAATGTTTAATGAATCTTTTAGATATAATTCTTAGGCTAGAAACTAATGAAAAAATAGTCTGAAAAGAGGATTTAATAAAAATAAAATTGACGGCTAATATAGGCAATATGTTATCAGATTTATTTGATGATGAACGTTTCAAACACCGTTTGGACAACAGAACTGAGAAAATGTGAATGTGTATGAAGGACCATGAACTACATTCCGTTCATAATTATACTAACAACCATTAAACGTTTACAATAAGGTAGCGTTTACTATACATACTTGGAAATCGGACATAAGTCCGAAACGGTACGTCAATAAAAAGCTGTCAGATTTGCATGATTACAACTAAGTGTGCATCTTGATTAAATATTTTATGAAAATTTATGGTATATATTCCTGTACGCAATGGATTCATGGCGTACTCTCTCTATGTGATATCCTTTTTTTTTTAAAGATAACTCCCGAATATATCCTGTGTCGCGGGGGACTTTACAAACATGCATGAAACGGACACAAAATTGTGGATCACACAAAGTGTCGCCTCATGTGGGGATCGAACCCACAACATTCAGCGTAGTAGTAAGTGGCGTGGCGACCGCTTAAACAACTACGCCATCCGTGCAGTCAGGCATTCCCAAGGAATTAACGCGAAACTCGGCATTATTATTGTTTTTTCACCCGCAACGTTACCGACGAAAGTATTTTAAATGAAGTTTGAACATAACACCGCACTTCCACTTTTTGTGAAGTCTGTGATCCGTATGTGGTTCAGGTAAAAGAAGATGTTGAAATTAAACAATGAGTACATAATATGTCACCTTATAAATATAACTGCAACGATATTTTTAGTAGCCACTATCTATATTGTACACAAAGAAAAAAATGCGCACAATTGCACAAAACTATTTCACATAGGTCATAACTACATTACATGTCATTTTGGATGCGCTTATCTGAATTTAAGTTAGAGAGTTCGTTGTAAACTTTGCTTTTTGTTATACCAAACTGTTTCATTCGGTATCAAATTGATGACATGGTCTTGACATGAAGTCGTGCACAGACATATGAGAACAATTTACATACTTACGCTAAACTATTGACAGTACATCGGAAAGGACACTGCTTATTTTGTTAATCTCTGGAACGGCTGGACCGATTTCGACGGGACTTTCACTGGCAGATAGCTGATGACATAAGGAGTAACTTAGGCTACTTTTTTTAGACTAGCTTCGCCACGCGGCGTTGCCCGCGGTTATAACAACAAACGCGGGTAACACCGCGGGTCTCAGCTAGTATTAAAATATAATAATAAACAATAAATTCTTACATTGTTTCTTCTATTAAATTGTACCTATAACACATGGTTTTTTCTGCGTCATTCTGTTGTAAAAATATAATTAACTACTATAAAACTTAAATCGAACAGTTTACATAATGAGAAGGATATAAATATATCCTAATATAATTCTGAAATATTTTGTCTCGCAGAGTCTTGCTTACTTAAAAGAACGAAGAAACATCCAACTACGACTGTTTTCAGCTTGCTATAAACAATTACAGTTTCGATTCTTGTTTAAACTCGGGTGCAATCGTAGTCGCTTTGAATACTACTTACCCTCTCACTATTTCTTTAATACCTATTGACCTCGTGCCTTCGACATCGATCACTCACGATACGATAAAATACTCAACAGGTTCTAATTCTGAACATGTGGTTAGAAGGAATATAAAGCACTCAATATAAATGACACGATTGATCATATTAATAATGCATCTGTATTTTAATGTCTTATACAATCACTTCACGTATCTTCCTGATTGTATTTTTTTTTTTTATATAGTACTAAATTTATTCCAACTCGGTATTGATGTGAGTGTATATTTTTAGTGTATTCCACAAGAAAGCTTTAATAGTTTGTGCCACCAGAATTTATCACAACTAGAATACAATTATTAGTCCCTAATAATACCCAATACCAAATTGCACGGGTACGAAATAGCGGGCACAGCTAGAGTATTCTAAATCCGGCAATTCTATCCGATTGACTTGCTTAAGTGCCTCAATGAGTCCTTTCAATGAATTTGTCGTTAAATATTAGAATTTCTTCCTTTACCTTCCTTATGTGTTCATATCTTTCTTTATATATATCTCCGGTTCTAATAAAATTCCTTGGTTAGTTTTAGTTTACTACTACAACTACTACTAGTTTACACTGCAACGTGATTAGTGTGTGTTGACGTGGTTTAATTTATCTTAGGCTAGGTGTAAGCTTTCAACTTAAATTTAATACTGTCTTTAACTGTTTTAAGTGCTGCCGGACCTCCTCGTTAACTATCTTACAAATTGTGTGATTATCCTTGAATAAAAATTATCCCTCTTTACTTATAATCAACACGACCATGATTTCAAAACATGCCAAGTCATCTAAATTTCAAAATACTAATGCATTTATAGTGAGGTCTGGTTCAACAGTATCTAATCTATTCTTTCGTCACCTAGACAGAGTCTGTAGTCTGAGGTCAGTACTTTGAGCAGTACAAGGACATGCAAATATGATAGTTACACTTATCAAAGTAGACTGTAGTACTAAATACAAATTAGTGTTTCAGATGCAAATTTTTGAATTCATCGACCCCGTATTTATTTATTGACAGGCATAGTGTTCAATTCATTAGAATACTTATAGTAGTATTTCTTTTTGTGGCATCAGATCACATCACATCAACAGTCTTTAATTTTCCACTCCTTATAAAGGAGGTTTTGTGGCTAAAGTAGCAACAAATTTAAGAAATAAATGCTTAAGACCAGTATTCTGTGAGCCGTGGTATTACTCCGGTTGAGACGTCCCATTTGTGCTGAAGCTTGGCTCTCCTACGTAGCATCAGTATTTGTAGCAGTATTTATCATCCTTACTACACTGTACTCTATTACTGAGTTTTCCACTTGTTCCAGTGTTCGACGCAACAGCGAAACCTCCTGCAGGCATACTAAGCGGCAATGGAAACCAATATGGTGATTTCGACGAATGTCTCAGCATTGATGGCGCAGTCAGGGGAAAGTACTGTCTCGCATCGCTTCAAGTAAGCTTCCATGGAGACAAAAATATGGCAGACATCGACACCTTAGTACACAGTGGACACTATATAAGAAGCAATATTACTGATGTAAGTGTAAATATTTATCTATAGCCGTACACTGATTCGAGAAAGAATGGCTCAGCTTTCAATGGGTTGTTTTTTTTTTTACAGGAAGGTTACATTATTATGAGCACGTAGTAATATATAATAAAGTTTCAATATGCGCGTAGTTTTTGAGAAAAAAAATATTGAAATCAATTATTTAGTTTTGTTACGTTCCAATCGATTTGTTACGCTAGGGCGTAGAGGCTGCTCTTTACCCGCAGCGCCGGAGACGTTGCAGTCAAAACTCGAAAAGGGAGGGGCTCCGCAACTTTTCCTTTAATGGGGGTAGTAAACCATAGGTAAAACGAAACGTTCAATGGCGAGTATTCAATGTAGTCTGTGGTAGGAATTTACATAAATATTGCAAAAATATTTGATTACATTTTTTTTCAAACTTGTTCGCATTTTGAAACTTTACGTATGTGCTTATAATAATGTAACCTTTCTATATAAAATAATATCAATCCCCAAATCGACGGTCGTCAATGGCAAGTCGTACCATGATTTATCAATATAAGGTTCACCTCTCATCATCACACTCATCAACCAAAGTCATGTTTAACACATACTACTACGCCACGCCACTTACTACTACGCTGAGTGTTGTGGGTCCGATCCCCACATGGGACGACACTTTGTGTGATCCACAAATTGTTGTTCTGAGCCTGGGTGTTCTTTGTGTCCGTTTCATGTATGTTTTTAAAGTCCCCCGCGACACAGGACATATTCTTAATGCAGGAGTTGTCTTTACAAAAATAAAAAATATATATCATATACTAGCTGTACCCTGCCACGCTTCACTGTTTGTAATTGTCGTTTATTGATGAGAAAAGAGAAACCAAACTAACGAAAAATAGATAAAAACCATCTTTGAAACGGGTTGTATATCGTGTCAAAATTTGAGCTCAACTCAGCTCAGCTGACAAATTTTCACTACAAATCGAAACCACTATAAATCGAAAACAATTATTTCCGATGTACAATGTCGACATAACCGGGTTTCCAACAGCATTCTGTTAAGATGAGGCAAACAAGGGACACCTGTCTGTCAGCACGCATGTACGAGTATATATTATAAACGCACGTAGTATTGACCTTGGCAATAATTGATTGTTAAAATGTTGAGGGCAACGCATTCCTATTGTACGCAATGTACCTATTGGGAAAATATATTTATATATATTTCAACAGGGATCACGCACCACTTTTATCTCAATTCTCCTACATTTTTTTCTGTGGTTGTTTAATTTTTGACATTACCCTATTAATTTTACTTTATCCTTAAAAACTGCCAAACGTTTTTGATAAAACTTAACAACATTATAGGTTAAATGTTATCCAAAATTAGGTGCCAACCTGAATCATGTCAACAAACAGAGTAGGTTATACTTATAATAAGTATGGTATAATAAGTAGGTTATAATTATATCCAAAAAATATTTGAAATAAATTTCTTTAATAAGTTTTTGTTTTCTTTATTCAGCACTATTATTGCTGTGTCAATTTAACCGATTTGAGATTTTTTTATCATTTGTTTATGTATACTTTCCATTTGGTCCCATTTAAATTTGAAGAAATTAAACCACCACTAAGGGTGGAAAATTTAGATAGAAAATGAAGAATATAGTTTATTACAGTTCGTCACATTAATGTCGGTGATACTTTTTAATCATATGATCAATAATTTAAAGAAGAAATGTTTTAAAAATCTGAAAGCAGACAATTAACAGACTAAAGAGATATATTTTTTCTTATACTTATATTTCTAAGTTACTTTTTACTTACTTATTTGTAGGAAATGTGTAAGTTATATTAACAATTCTTCTTTTTTTATTCTTCAAAAATTGTTATCATATGATTATGATACTCTATACGGTTTTTAAATGTTGACCAGGTGAAAACCTCTCACACGAGGGATATTTCCTCTCACACATCTACTCGTCTGTAGATGGCCCGAGGTATGTCGGGGCACCAGGGACTTCCTTTCTAGGGTATACCTGGTTCCCCGGCTATTAGTAACCGAGACGGCGTGCGGTTTTAGTCGGTTCGAGTCCGACATGCCACGATCCGCTAGGTGGTATCCGAGAGGATTTCCGCACGAAAAAAAAAAAAAAAAAGGTGAAAACCTCTTTTGCCTCGTACCCTATGCATTCAACTACAAGTGTTAATGTCACCTTTCTAGAAGAGAGTTTGTCTATTAAAAATTATGGATGGGAATCTTCCTATACTATTATAGGAAGATTCCCATCCGCAATTTTTAAGTCAAGGCAAGACTTTACACTTAGTCGCTAGTCCACACACCTGCCTAATAATTGCCGTGGCCATGACCGGTCAAATTTCATGCACATTTGGTTTTAACACATGGTTTCTTACCAATCGTACAGCGATGACTGTAACCAAAGTTTAACTAAGTTTTGACGTGTAAAATCTTTCCTCTCGTTTTTCTGTTAACAGTTATTTCGGAAAAAGAACTTAAGTGTGCAACAGAAAGTTAAGAATACCGCCGGCTACTTGACCTTGCACCTACCGACTATTACTTTTTCCAAAATTTAGACAACTTTTTAGTGGGTAAAAAATTCAATTCCCGAGAGGCAGTACAAAATGCCTTTGAAGAGTTTGTTGCCTCCCGTCCAGCTGATTTTTACAAGAAGGGCATCAATAAACTGCCAATGCGTTGGCAAAGATGCGTCGATTGCATGGATGATTACTTCGAATAACAGAAATAAAAAAGTTTGAAAAAATAAGTACTTGCACTTATTGCATACAAAACGGCAATTTCATAGGTAAAGACCTATTATTTACACAGAATCACATTAAAAAAAAAATAGTTTTAAAAACTAAAAAACACGCTTTCTATAGAAAACCAAACTAAAAAATAGAAAATAAATTTGAAAAATAGCGTTGGGTGCCTGTTGTCAATAGTAAAAAGCACCCCACGCTTTTTTTCAAATTTATTTTCTATTTTTTAGTTTGGTTTTCTATTTAAATTTTTTTTTTTAATTAGTGTATTGTCATCGGTCCTCGAAATATCTACAAAGTTTGAACTAATTCTGATCGTTTAAAGTAAGTCAAAATCACGCCCAAAGGAGTCGGTTACAAACATACAAACAAACATACAAGTGAAGCTAATATAAAGCGTGTAAAATAGCAAAGATTTTTGAAGATCAAATCCGTAACATTTCCAGCGGTACTCTTTCCGATATTTGTTTATTACGAAGAACTCTGATTACAGTTACCAGTTTTACTTACACTGTATATAGCTTATATTCTCTGTGAAAATTGATAAAAGACTCTGAAATTAAAATATAAGGCAATAGACTCCTAGACTAGGTCCCTCCACCTTCCTGACTTCCTTGAATTAATATTCTAAGTCCCCGAGATGGGGCAGAGGGCGTCCACAGTAGTCCGCCATCGCGTTCACTCCCGAGCCTCTCACTTGACCTCATCTGCGACAGTGCGCTTGGTTACAGTCCATTGGCTTGGCGATATGCTCGGGGTCCCTACGCAGAGTGGCGATCCAGTTCCACTTGCGCGCTTGTGTTACTTAGATTGTGTATAGCTTATATTCTCTGTGAAAATTGATAAAAGACTTCTAAGATAAACTATAAGTCAATAGACTCGGAGACTGGGTCCCTTCAGCTTCCTACCAATGTTGTATTGAGTGCCTGAAATAGTATCGACTGTAACATGTAACTATTTGCCTTCCGTAAAGAAAAAACTTTAATGAAAATAACAGAAAAAATTTAAGTCAGTAAAGACTCCCGAGTCCCCTCAATTTCTGCTGTTCATTCCTTCATTATATCCCTTCTTTTTCAGTCACAATTAATATGGTAACACCATTACGTAATCTGTTATAATAACTCCAAAAAAGTATATTTGTATTATTATATACATCATCACATCAAGAGTCTTAAACAGTCCACTGCTGGATATTGGCCTCTCCTTAGAAAGGAGGTTTTGGCCTACTATATCGTGCTGGCCAGACGGGTTGGTATAGGTTTTGTGTCATCGGACGCCCAATTTGGTTTTCGGGCGGGCGGGACAGTCGACGCTGTGTTGCGCCTGAGGGCCGTGACCGAAGAGGCCGTGAGCTGTGGCGGCATGCTGTTGGCGGTGTCATTGGACATCGCCAACGCATTCAATAGTCTGCCATTCAGCTGCATCAGGGAAGCACTCCACTATCATGGGGTGCCAAAGTACCTGAGGAGGCTAGTGGCAGACTATTTAGAGGAGCGTACCGTCGTGTACGAGGACCGAGAGGGTAATTTGAGGTGTCGGCCCATGTCGTGCGGTGTTCCACAGGGGTCTGTTCTTGGACCCCTCTTGTGGAACATAGGGTACGACTGGGCCCTTCGAGCCGATTTCCCCCCCGGGCTGGGTGTAATTTGTTACGCAGATGACACTCTGGTGACAGCCCGGGGGGCGAACTTCCAAGAGGCGGCGCGCCTGGCCACAAGGGGAGTCTCCCTGGTGGTCGGGCGCATTGAGGCGCTGGGCTTACGGGTGGCCCTAGATAAGACGGAGGCCCTGTTATTTCATGGGCCCCGTCGTGGTCCACCCCCTGGCGCCTCAATCGTGGTCAACTCGGTCCTCGTACCGGTTCGGGCCCAGATGAAATATCTGAGCCTGGGCCTGGGCTTTGCCACCGTGGAGGCTCTCCAGCCGGCCGGCCGAGTGGGCAGGGCGGCAGCACGGGACCCTTACCTTCCGGCTGACGCAGGTGCTTGCCGGGCACGGTTGCTTCGGAAAGTACCTGCACTCGGTCGCTAGGAGGGAACTGAGTCCCGCCTACCACCACTGCGACTGCAGTGAGGACTCGGCCCAGCACACGCTGGCGGTCTGCCCCGCATGGGCGACGCAGCGCCGGGCCCTCACTGCAGTCATCGGAGTGGATCTCTCGCTACCGGCCGTAATACGCTCCATGGCCGGTAGCGACAGTTGTTTTACCGCGGTCGCAACCTTCTGCGAGGAAGTAATCTCGC